AACCTGGTTTTCTTTAAGAAGAGAGATAATTGATGGCCAACTGGGAGCGAGAGTTGAGCTTCCTGGATTCATCTCACTTAACAAACATTGACTCAGGCTGACTGTGGACCTGGCCTTGTGCTGCATGCTGGGGCCACAGAGGTGAATGTGACACGGTCTCCTGCCTCCACAGATTCCCACTTAGTGCGGGGGTTCTCAGAGCAGGCTGGAAGTTTCCATTCTCCCAGTTGTGGTAGTTGCACAATTCACAGGTTAATTAGTGAATTGACATTTTTCTCAATTTTAACCCTCCTCACCTCCCAATTTCCCATTCCCCATTCTCCTTAAAATGCTAGTACACACTAGAATTCTCTAGAGCAGGGGTCCTCAAACTACGGCCCGCCAAAAACATTTGTGTTTTTTTACTTCCAGTGTGCACAGGAATGTGTTCATAGTTTTTTTTTTTTAAACTATAGTCCGGCCCTCCAACGATCTGAGGGACAGTGAACTGGCCCCCTGTTTAACACTAGGAAGACCGAAATTTAGTATATACCTATATTGCCCACTCTATCCACTGAGCCAATTCTCAGAGCAGGCTAGAAGTTTCCATTCTCCCAGTTGTGGTAGTTACACAATTCATAGGTTAATTAGTGAATTGACATTTTTCTCAATTTTAACCCTCCTCACCTCCCAATTTCCCATTCCCCATTCTCCTTAAAATGCTAGTACACACTAGAATTCTCTAAAGCAGTGGTTCTCAACCTTGGCTGCACATTAGAATCACCTGGGAATCTTTTTAAAATCCTGATTTCTGGGCCTCATCCTCCAGAAATTCTGTTTCTTTGTTATGGGGTGGGGCCACAACATTAGTAACAAAGGAACAGAATTTCCGGAGGATGAGGCCCAGAAGTCAGGATTTTAAAAAGATTCCCACATGATTCTAGCTGGTTCCAGGGCTGAGGCAGGAAAAGAACAAGGTGAGCCCGGGACATTATGTTGTGCTGGAACACAAGAAAGTACTTAAAACCTTCTGCACATTAGAATGGGGACTTAAAACCTTCAGAATTTCTGGTACTTTAGTTCAAGTAGGCCAAGTCTACTCCAGATCCACCTTAAGTTCCAAGGGCCAAGGGGAAACCGAGTTGGACCACACCCTTCTACAACGTAATGGTTGTCTCTTTCTGGGCTTCGTGGGTCAGAATTTCTGGTACTTTAGTTCATCATCCCAGGTGATTCTAAGGTTGAGAACCACTGCTCTAGAGTCTGGTGTCAAATATTACCCGATTTGCTGGCAGTCCCATGTAGTTAGTTGTTGGAAACTGCATACCTGATGCTTCCCAGCTTCCAGGGGCACGGTGTCCCTAGGACAAGTCTGATCTGGAGGCTGCAGATTTGCCCAACTGGAATGCAGTATGACCAGGGCTAGATGCTAGATGTAGGAACAACATGCTGGGTCTTAATTTTGTCCCTGCCACCAACTTCGTGTGTGACCTTGGGCAATTTGCTTCTCTGGGCCTTATTTCTATCAGAGTTTACAAATAGTAATAATGACTGTTATGACCACAATTTATTGAACACATATTATTGCTGGGTACTTTCCACGTATTATTTCGTTTGATCCTTACATCTATCCTGTGATAAGTCCTATTTTGATCCCCATTTTACAGATGAGGAAACTGAGGCTTAGAGAGAGTAAATGGCTGCCAGTGAGTGATAAGGAAGCCCTTCACTACCTGGCAGGACCAGGGTAGGGCTGAGTGTGGACCTTGGGCAACTCTGAGATTCTTTCTGGCAGGCACAGAGGATGTGCGCATCGATGAGAGGACTGTCAGCCCCTTCCTGCAATTGTCAGATGATGGAAGGACTCTGACCTTCAATGCCAAGAAGTCTAAGGCCTGTGCAGATGGCCCAGAGCGCTTTGACCACTGGCCCAACGCCCTGGCCGCCACCTCTTTCCAGTCTGGGCTGCACGCGTGGATGGTAAATGTGCAGAACAGTTGTGCCTACAAGGTGGGCGTGGCCTTAGGCCAGCTGCCCCGTAAGGGTTCTGGCAGTGACTCTCGTCTGGGCCACAATGCCTACTCCTGGGTCTTCTCCCGCTATGACCAAGAGTTCTGTTTCTCACACGGCGGGCAGCATGTGCCCCTGGGGCTGCTGCGTTGCCCAGCACAGCTGGGCGTGCTGCTGGACTTGCAGGCCCAGGAGCTGCTATTCTACGATCCAGCCTCGGGCACGGTGCTCCACACCCACCAGGCGTCCTTCCCTGGGCCCCTCTTCCCAGTCTTTGCTGTGGCCGACCAGACCATTTCCATTGTCCACTGACCTTCGGCACTGGGGAGGCTAGATCTGCCTGCCCACCATCCTTTTAGGCCACATTTCTACCCAGTATCCTTTTCCCAAATGTTGCCCATGCCCACCGGGCAGCTTTAGGAGGGGTAGGATCCATTTCAGATCCGGTATAACCATTAAATGCTTTATCTGTGGGGAACCTGCCACTCCCTGGGCCTTAGTCTCCCAAATTCACCCTCTAAGGGTGTCTTGTTCACCACTTTATCTCTGGCATCCAGCATGGTGCCTGGTGAGCGTGCAATAAATATTTGGCAAGTGAATGGGTGGATGGATGGATGGATGGATGGATGGATAGGTGGATGGGTGCATGTGGTAGACTCTTCTGGAGAAGCACTGCCTTTCAGCCCCCTGCCCCTAGCTCTGAGCGTGTAGAAATGGTTTTCTGGCAGAAAAGCCTGTGGCTGAAGTCCTTTCATCTCAGTTGAGTGCTTTTCAGTCCTTCCCATGACATGACACAGGGAAAGAATTTTTCTAGCACACAAGGACAGCTTGGAAGGGACCTAGAACTCCTGCCAGCTGCTCCTGGTCAGAGGACTCTGGCCGGGGGCTGTGTCCTAACCCAGGGCCTACCTGGCCACTCAGAAGACTGAGAAAATCCTGTCTCCAGGTAACCTGACTGCAACACACCCATCAGCAGCTCTGCCTTGGACCTGGCGGCTGACCTCCAGCCTGTACCCACTGCAGTAACCGGGATTAATTCCCCCCCACCTGCAGCTGATGAGTGCCCTGCCTGGTGGCCCCTTCTGACATAATGTGGGGACCTGGGGGGAGAACCTGGAGTCAGAAAGAGCTGAGGGGGTAAGAGGGCCAGCCTTAGGGAATGTGTACATTATTAAAGGTTTTAAAAGACTGACAATTTTCTTCCATGTTCTTTGTTGGTAATTGGGTAACACCCTGCCGTGCGCCTCTCCCCTTCCTCCCCTCAAGGGCCAGCTCAAATCTTAGAGGTGTGTTTACTGGAAATTTGATGTCTTCCTCATTTCATGTTCTCAGATATAAGCGGGTGGCTGAGGTCAGCATACACACCCTAAAGGGCCTGGAGTCGGTTCTGTGCCCTGCACTGCTGGGACCAAGGGCAGATCTTTTTCTGATCTTTAAGGAGGTCACATTAGAGCAGTAGTCCTCACATTTTTGTTTCTTTGGGGAACATAGTTCAAAGGCAATCTTACCTACAACTTCAGGCTCCTGGGCTCAAAGATGAGGCCAGAGCCCTCCCCACTGTTTGCTCAATAATCTACTTGAAACACTGGGTGGATCAAATCCAGTCAGTCCACAGACCTACTGGCAACTTTTATGACTGCAATGACTTCTGAGGGCCCTATGGCTCTGAGACTACAGCTCATGACCCCGTCCTCACTACCTGACACTCGAGAAGGTGTCTGAGAAGAGCTTTCCTGCCTCCAAATGTCCTCACTGCCTGACACTTGGGAAGGTGTCTGAGAAGAGCTTTCCTGCCTCCAAACCTGGGTCAATGCCAGATTCTTCTAGATGGCACCCGAAGGCCCTTACACCACACTCCCCAAATCACCAATCTAACTCCCCATAGCAGCCCTCAGTCCACAGTTCATGGGCCTGCTGCTAGGGATTCCCTATTCTGCCCACCTAAATGCCAGTCCCAGTTCAGGGCCCACTCCAGAGCCGTCCCTGGCTGTTGGCACTAGAAAATAACGTGCATGTGCCCATCTACATGCTCTTCACCTGTGGTGTCCCCTGTGCTTGGCACTGGCTGAGGCACAGAGGTGTCCAGTAAATACCAAGTAGAGAGGTGTGTGAAGAGGGAGAGGCAGGAAGAGACATGGAATTTTTAAAACGCAACTTCTTCAGTTCCCAGTGATTCTCCCCACATTTACACTCCTGCCACCTTGGGCTCTGGTCCCTGTCCCCTGCGCTTTCCTACCCCTTGTTAACCCCCTATGACTGGGGTGTCCTTTAAGAATGACACCCCATAGGTCACCATCCCTATTCTTCCAGGACCTCAGCTGCACTATGTCTCATGTGACATGGATCCCTTTCTACTTGCAAACTAGTGGTCAAGCCAATGAATGGGCTTTGGAGTCAGACATGCCTAGACTGGAGCCCTGGCTCCGTGTACTAGCTGTGACCTCAGGCAGGCTAAACCTCTGAATCCCTTGTCAAGTGGAAGACATACTACTTAAGCCCTCTAGGTAGCTCTGAGGGTTCTATATACCTAACAAGGACTAGCAGAGTACCTAACACATGGAGGAGGCGTGTGTGTGTGTGGATCAAGCTTCTTCTCATGACTGGGATTATGGCGTTCTTTGTCTAAAATCTGACTAGACTATGTTGTCTTAGAGGACATGTCCTTAAGCACAGCTTAGCACCCTGATTTTCAAATTAAGCTCCTCTGACCTTAGACTTTGCAGGTAGGGGAAGTTGTAGAGCAGCGGTTCTCAACCTGTGGGACACATACTACTTAAGCCCTCTAGGTAGCTTTGAGGGTTCTATATGCCTATCAAGGACTAGCAGAGTAACTAACACATGGAGGAGGCGTGTGTGTGTGTGTGTATCAAGCTTCTTCTCATGACTGGGATTATGGCGTTCTTTGTCTAAAATCTGACCAGGGCCTGAATGAGGGGTCCCAGGACCTTTGTTTCACCCTTGCAGTGTCTCCTTTTTTCCTGTTTTGCATATTGGGGTTCCACATAGGATCTCCCATGACAAAAGGACCCCGCTGCTATAACCAAGTTTCAAGATACCTGATTTTGAAGCTAGTTGGGCCTTTAGTAAATCTTGTTGGAGGTGAGGCAGATTTGTGAAAAAAAGGGACGCAGGTGTGATGAATGAACCATCTCAGAGACCAGGAGCTGGTTAGTGGGGCAAGGCTGAAAGCCTCACACTCACTGCTTTATAGTCAGAATGCATGATGGAGTCTGCAGGGAGGGGGTAAAGGTCAGATCTTGGGGAGGAAAGGGCTTCCTGTCTGTAATGTTTGTTGGGCCCAGCCGCTTCCCTCACCAGACTCACAGCCCTGTGGATGAGTTCTCTAGGCGGTCAAGGGCCGACAGGAGATGGGGCAGTGAGGGGAGGATATGTTCTTGGGGTACAGAGTCTTTGACCGCAGGGTCCAAAGGCCCCGGGCCAACTACTAGAAAGCTGTGCATGCCTACAGCCCGGGCCCCCTTATAATCATTGTGGTAACTGTCCCCAATATGGGCCGCCACTGCTGGTTCTACATGAGCAAGCCGCAAGGCTTCCTGGAAAATGCGGGGGTCCGGCTTGCACCAGCCAGTAGCCCCAGAGGTCAGCACAAAGTCGAAATGTTCCCGCAAACCGAGACCCATTAAGATACCCTCTAGTCGCTCATCAAAGTTGGAGACCACTGCCAGCCTCAGACCTCGTTTTCGGCACCCCTTCAGGGTGTCCTCGGCTCCCTCCAACATCTGCCAGGTACAGGGTCTGCTGAAGTCTTTGTACAGCTGGTCAGCGATGGGGGCCACAGCCTGGGCATCCCGAGCACCCGCCAGGTGGAAGGTCTGCAGGACCACATCCTGCCACCACTGGCGGCAGGTGAGGCCCTGGCTCAAGCCATAGTTGGGGAAGCTGTGGTTCTGAGCCTTGATCACCTGCCTAAAGGCTTGTTCCAGGACTGGGGCCTCCACCTTCAGCCCGTGGGCCCGAGCGCTGGAGGCATATTGCTCCCCCACGGGCCGGCGGAGCCTGAGCAGCGTGTCCTTCACGTCCCACGTCAGCAATCGGATCTGTAGCTGGTGCGTCATGGGTCTGCAGGACGGGCCAAGTCTACTCCAGATCCACCTTACGTTCCAAGGGCCAAGGGGAAACCGAGTTGGACCACACCCTTCTACAACCTAACGGTTGTCTCTTTCTGGGCTGCGTGGGTCAGAATTTCTGGTACTTGGGGAATGTCTTCACAGCAGAAGATCCTGGAATGAGACGGCAAGTAAAGTGGGAGTTCAGGTTTTAGACTCGATTCAAATTCTGGTGCTGCCAACTCACTGTGTGGCCCTGGGCGTATCACTCTTGGAAGCCCTGTCTCCTCATGGGGAAGAACACAAGGACCCAACCTCTCAAGATTATTGGACTAAATGAGATGATCTGTTCATTGCACAACAATTTTCTGAACACTGATTATGTGCTAGATGCTGGAAACCGGACAGGATTCCAGATCTCATGGCATTTATAGCATTAAATAATAGGGGATACAGATCTTAGACAAAGAACTACACAGACACTTGGGCTTAATGAATGCAGCATGAACCGTGAAGTTATAAATCCAAGGACCTTATCTGGTCTTTGTCAGGGAACCTCCTAGGCAAGTGAAGTTTCAGTGGGGATCTGAAGAATGACTATTGAGGAAAGAGAGGTGGTTAAGTGTTCCTGGCACTGAAAACAGCAAGTGCAAAGGTCCTGAGGCAGGGCAAGGAATCTGGTGCTTGGGGTAGAGAGGGGCCAGCTCAGGCAGGGCTGTGTAGGTCAAGATAAGGAAACAATTATGATTGCTATTCCTATTGTTAGCAATTCCAAAGACAGAAGGGTCCTTGCAGACCATCTGACCAAACCCGTGGT